TTCGACGGCAACAGCAACAGCAACAGCAACAACAACAACAACACCAACCACAACAACTAGAACTACAACAACTACAACTACAACAACTACAACTACAACAACTACAACTACAACTAGAACTAGAACTACAACAACTACAACAACAACAACAGCAACAACAACAACAACAGCAACAACAACAACAACAACTACAACTACAACAACTACAACAACTACTACTACTACTACTTCTACTACTACTACTACAACTACAACTACTACAACTACACTACACAACAACTACAACCACACAACAACTACAGCTACAACTACAACAACAACTACTACAACTACAACTACAACAACTACAACTACAACAACTACAACTACTACTACTACAACTACACTACACAACAACTACAACCACACAACAACTACAGCTACAACTACAACAACAACTACTACTACAACTACAACAACTACAACTACAACTACAACAACTACAGCTACAACTACAAAACAACTACAGCTACAACTATATGACTGCAACTACACTACACTAATTACATTACACCACAGCTACAACTCCACTACGCTACAACTACAACTACAGTTGCAGTACATCACACTACATCCAGCAGTTGTGGGTGAGGTGACCACTGCAACCATTGCAACCACTCCAGCAAACACAACTCCAACCACCTTTCGGTCAATCAGTGGATTCGCTCTGCCATCCGTGATTCACAACAACCAACGTCTCCTATAGGTTTCCTATTCTGAAACTTCCGCCACCGCCTTGTGCGGTACTACTGGTAACCATTGGCTTTATGGTAGATATATGGAATTTATAATTCATCGAACATATACATAAATCATCATAAATCAACACCAAAACTGGGGGGTTGGCCACCTTGCAGTACTAACTATTTTGATGGGTCCCCTTGGCAAACACCACGAAGAGAATCATGGACGCTCGCTCTCCAATTCCCTGGCTGCCGCTGCCGCAGGCTCCAAGATTTATTGCTATAGGACTGATGGATCTCAAGATCAGGAACACAGAAAAGAGTGAAATTCTTCAAAGAAACGAGCTACAAAAGGACGACCAACGACCATCCCTGGAATTCCCAGGATTTGTCGGAAATTTGTCGAAATGGTCATAGTTTTGGGGCAACAAAAAAAAAAAATTGGACTAGCCTTACGACATTTTACGACCGTCATTGAAAACTCTAACATTAACCAATAGATACCCATCCCGACGAGGCATCAGAAACTCCGAGCCCTTCCTAATTGGAGGTTTCCATTGTCATGGGGGTACCCTGGTCGCTGGATGGTTGATTTCAAAATCCCAATCTAATAGCTGGATGATGAAAACTGGGGGTACCCCTATGACTTAGGAAACCTCCAATTCATTACCCCGAAAAGTGTGGCTATTTTGGATTGTTACTTGTCATAGCTGCACGACCCATGAAATGTCTACCTTGTTCGAGAAGGGTGGTAGAACTACCTCACTTAAGAACCTAAATGTGGTGTGTTTATGTTTGACAAACCAGGGTACGATTCAAGACCACTCTTCACTTCATTTTTTTTTAGCCGTTCCTCAGATGTCCTGACGTGAGGTCCATGTTTTGTACCCTGATTATCCCCATTCCCATGATACCACCATTTCATCTCGTTGTGCCACTATGTTTGATCATTTTGGTTAAATCACCATCGTTGTTGGTTAAATCCCAGCTCGTGGTTGCCCTTGCAATACTCCACCAAGTCCCAAGCTGGGCAGTTTCCATTGATATCCAATAGTTACTTTTTTTGCATTCTTGGAGATACAATGTGGTGGTCTCTAAATAGCTAAGTTGGTCCAAATAACTATGGTTTATGCTAGATATGTATATATATATATACTATATATATATATATATGTATTGATGGCAGCTATAAACAAACTTATCACTGGGGGGGCCCACTGTGAAGGTCGTTTGTCACAAATCAAAGTCCCGAATTTGCAATCCTGTGAATTAGGTACCCCTATGAATGAATAAACATGGATGGTACATGCCCCAGAATGATCACAATCATCAACCATCAACCCAAACATCCCAAGACCATACATCATGTAGCTATAATTTCTTCCTAATGTGATATGATGGAAGGATCACTGCCGAGTTTATTCTTGGATATGCTTGGTACATCTCTCCATGTTTGATGATGAAACCCAAAACTCTGATTGGCCCAAAATCCTCCACTTGTGATGGAAAGCGACCTTTTGTTTGCTTGTTGACACCCTCATTTTTGCTGCTTTCAGTCCCTTCTTCATGTTCATTCAAACTCCATTCTTGTCTGATCAAAGCCGATATTTTGGCGAATCCCCCATGTTTATCATCCCTATTTGTGCTGGTTGAAATCCTCTCAAGTAAACTGGCTTCATGTGAAGTACCCCAAAACTCGGGTTCAAGTCTAGATAGGTTGAATGCATTCCAAGTATTCCAGTATTCCCCGAATACTACATGAATCAACCACAAACTGACCTGTCACAAGGGCCAAAAAGTGACCATAGGATATAGATTTTCTCAGCTCCATCGATCTGTTTAGCTCCTTCGGTCCGGAAACTTGCCTGCGACCAGCCCTGTGCCGCCAGCGACCCTAAACTCGCCAGCCACGTGCAGAACAGGTCGCACTTCGACTACACGAGGTCCAGAACTTCAAGTCAGGGATTTGGGAGTCTTTCAAATCATTCAAATCGATTTAAAAACATGATATATCATTCATGTGATAAATCAATATATAATTCATGTGATAGTTAATGTATGTTAATGTGAAATTCAGTCTTTCAAAACATTCGGCTCGAAAGGGCGCCCAGGATCCTGATTGGATAACAGAACTTGCTATGAAAATTGGTCCATTTATAGATGTTGTACCTATGAAAATGTATAAACATGGATGATATTTCAAGATCTTAGTTCACTAGAGAGTATACCATAGTATAGCAACCAATATCAGATTGGCGATTCTTAAAGTTTTTTACGTCTGACAATGAGGGACCCAATCCCTTACCCTACCTTGCCATGGCCGTTGAGGTGCTGATCTTAGCAAAAAAAATCACCAATTCTTAGCTGGTGAACGGCTGGTGAATCCCGTTGGCACCAAAGGACTACTGGTTGGTGGTTTTTCGCCCTACCCCTCTGGAAAATATGAGTTCGTCAAATGGGATGATGACTATTCCCAACTGAATGGAAAAAATTAACATGTTCCAAACCACCAACCAGACTAGTTAGGATTAATCTGCCCAGTCGACCTAGGCAAGAGGTGCCAATGTTCAAAGAAATTGCCCACTGCCCTTCTTTGGACCCTTCGAAAAAACCACGTTGTCCTTCAGAATGTTTGGGTGAAAAGCAAGTTCCAGGGTGAGCGACTAGTTTTGAACCACGGCTTGTGCTGATAAATAACTCTGAGTTTCCTGTAGTGGTCGGGTACTTTCATGGACTTTTTAATACTCGAAGGTGTTCGACCCAGTGAGTTCCAATCTTTCTGGCCCCATAGCTATGCAGCTTTGCAGATGCAGCAGATGTGGTTTGGCTCCGGGAGCAGCCTGTAACCAGGGGATATCACTAGTTATAATAGTTATATATTTATCATGGGTACAATTTAGTGGTTATTCTCATGGGTATAATATTCTCATATCATGTGTACAACGGTATAACTTAGTGTAACCATTATCATGGGTATATTATTCTCATATCAAGAGTTGGTTGCAACCAGTATCATTGTGATAATTCATTATTGATATGACAACTAGCTATTGATATGATAACATTATGATAGTAATAACTGACAAGTTAGTTATAATGATCATTTTCGATTGGTATTTCGCAGAAACTATTGATTTTGATATGATTGGGAAAATACGGTTGAATGGTGTGTATCTGTGTATGTGTGTATATGTGTCTATGTGCATTTGTGCATGTATGTATGCATGTATGTATGAATGTATGAATGTATGAATGCATCAATGTATGAATGCATGAATGTATGAATGTAAGAACGTATGAATGTATGAATGTGTGTGTGTATGCGTGTATGTGTGTATGTGTGTGTATGTATGTATGTATGTATGTATGTATGTATGTATGTATGTATGTATGTATGTGTGTTTGTATGTAGGTACATACGTACATACGAACGAACGTATGGTCTTTCTGCATCAACTGCTATATGTTTGTTCTCTGGGGTCCAAACAAGACCGTGAAAAAAAACAAACAAACAACACGCGTATTACAAGGTGTATATACATCTGCATATACAAATACAGATACAAATACAGCAAAAAACAACATAACATGATATCATGCATGTGAATGCCGAAGAAAAAACACAAAATACAGAAGTCAATGGTCTTGTTTGCCGGCTAAATCCTCAGCAAACGATCGTTCAAGTCCACATGGTTTGTTGGTGAAATCCAGTTTACATCCGAGTGCTTGTTTGTTTTCAAGTAATATATCTATCTACATACCCTTTCTTATCCTATCCCAGTCCATTCCATATCATCTACATATCTATCTATCTAATCTAATCTAATCTAATCTAATCTGTCTGCCTGTCTGTCTGTCTGTCTGTCTCTCTATTCTCTCTATCTCCCTACTGTATCTATCCGTCTATCTCTCTATCTCTCTATCTCTCTATCTCTCTATCTCTCTATCTATCTCTCTGTCTATCTACCTATCTATCTATCTACCTAGCTATCCATCCATCCATCTATCCATCTCTATATCTATATCTATATATCTATCTATCCATCTATCTATCTACGTACGTACCTACCTACCTACCTAGCTAGCTATCTATCGATCTATCTATCTATCTCTCTCTCTCTCTCTATCTCTCTCTCTCTCTATATCTCTATCTCTCTGTCTATCTGTCTATCTGTCTATCTATCTATGTATATATATCTCTCTCTCTCTCTCTATCTGTCTATCTGTCTATCTGTGCATATATATTCCCATTCCGTGTTGTTTCAATCCACCGAGATCTCAAACCACCACTGCTGCTTCTTCTGTGTGAGTGAAGCGCAAGGTCGCCAAGTGCGGCTCGCGCGCCATCCGCCTTCCGCCTGGTCACCGTTCAGGCCATTCAGATGGCCGTGGGGAGAGCCATGAAAGCCAAATCGTACCCATTGATATAGGGAGTTATTGGGGTTTACTATTTCCCATAGGACCCATGTTTATAACATAAAGGGGGTATATTGATGGGATCTTGCACCATGGATCCTATGGCTTTGTGAATGGGAATTATCTTGAGTGGGTAATGCACTCGTGTTTTTGTGAAAATTTGTGAATGTAGGTGGTGTAACCAGTATACTAGCAGGTTTATTGGGGATTACGAAAAACTATATGCATATAGAAGCAAATATAATCTCATAATCTCATATGTATGTATATCAATATAAAGTATATTAAAAACACACCCAAAATCGGGAAGCCTTTTACCAAGCAGTGCAATGGGATGGGACAGGAGTATGTGACAAATGGCGAATTTGGGAGGCTCACCAATGATGGGAAACCATTGGAATATCATGGGGGTACCATAGGAATATAATATGATACCACCAAAAACCTCCGAAAATCAGTGGATTATACCCTCTGGTTTACGATGAATATTTCATAGGTTCCACTGATTTTTTCACCATGTTCTCCGCTGGTACACTCCCAAATGGCAAGTGTTTTTGTTGAGAACATGGTGATTCATCAGTGGAATTCCTGGGTATTTCGATGTCTTAAAATCCCATCCACATACTTTGATCCCCTACATCCACCATGCTTTGAATTGGTGTTCAATATGAACAGGGGATGGGATTCGTCTCAATTTTCCCATGAAATATCCAATCGAAATATCGCTTTAGCAACCATCACAAGATTTTTTAGTCATGACAGTCGCACATGATGTGGAATAACCAAAGTGTATCTCAAAAGATTCCAGTCATTGCCAGAAGCTGGAAATTGTAGACTTCGACGTCGCCCACAGCGCCACCAAAGCCGCAGCGCAGCCACCACAGCCACAGCGCAGCCAGCCAGCGCGGGGCTGCCGCCGCATAGTGCCCTGCCCACGGCAGGGATTAATCGTGTCCACGTCGAGCACGTAGACAGGCAGCCCTGGAGCTGGCCAAGCATGATACGACCTGCAAGTCATGTTCTGCGTCCCGTCCTTCAGGCCAACCAAGACGCTTTTGGATAATTGACATCGGTGCCAGTCCGTCCTCTCTAAACGGATTTTGGTTACACAGCCACAAAACATGTTCTAACGTGCACTCAGAACCACTGCAAAATGGGCGACATTGTGGAGAACCACTCATTACCTCATATGCCTTGGGAGACACGAAAGCACCAGTGAGGCAGGCCAAACTGTCTGTATTCAGGTTGACCTTTTTCAGCGCAGCAAAATGCTCTGCAGTAATTCTAACATCAACACATTCGGCGGCATCCCTCCGAATGGATTGACGCGTTCTTCAAAATTTGAGAACCTCCATGCATCATTGCCAGAAGCTATGGATGGGGCTATTGAAAAGACTGGCCGAGGTGAACATACATACCCTCCGGTCATCAAACGTGGCTCGAAAATCCCCGAACTAAATGGAGGTTTCGTTCGCTGAGCAAGCCATGGAGATGATGACACAAGAGGACATACCCCTGAAGAGAAACCGATGAGGTCGCTGGGAAAGCTGATATATGTTTAAAACCCAGGTTCGTCGTCAAAGGTGAAAAAGAAATGATCAAACTATTTTGTAAATCTTCAATCAACAAACAATGAGGATAATGTAAATCAGTTTCTAGGGTTGCGTGCAGTTTCTACGGCTACAGTCATGGTGGGAATGTGGACGTTTATGCAACCCCAGCAAAGTGTTGATTTTACCCAGTGGATAGTTTGCAAATTGTTTGGTTCAAAATCATGATTCATTCACAAGTGGCAAATCACTTCGCATAAAATGCCTATGAGTTACACGCATAGTACTCTTGTCTTATCCGTCTTATCCCCTGTTCAGACAGTATCATAGGTTTTGACCTATCCCCATGTGCAGTGTTTGTTGGTTTCCAGCAGGGATTTTAAGTTGCCACTTTGCATTGCTAGAGGATAAAACGGGATGAAATATACTACTCTTACTGGTGCGTTTTACGTAGGGAATGGATGAGAATGGGGGTTGCTGGGATGATTATTGATAGTTAGCCAGTGGATCATTCCCGAAAATTCCCTGCGTTTAGCACCAGTAAGTACTCGACCAGCCTGAAAAGTTCAGTGAGATTGGGATAGTTACTCCAAACCTACCCATCCTTCCAGCCGCAGTGAGGTCGCAACATCATTCATCCGAAAGATCCCCATTGTATTCTATACCCCACATCCCACTCTACCATCAGTTTTCGTTGCTTAAATAATTATGTGTGTTGGTGAAATCCCAAAATTTGGGTTAAATCACAATGTTTGACGGTTGATTCATGTTTTTTGATTGTTAAATCACCATGTTGAATGCTTACATCTCCATTTTTGATGGTGAAATCTCGGGAAAATTCCAGAAACATCTCCCTCTGCCATGCCTTCTACTGCGTCAAACGCGTCGGCCATCATAAGGATCTTCCACTCGGAACCTGCCAGTCAAAAAATCAGAGATGTGCAAAAATTGAATGATGATTCAATTGGATTTAACAAACAGCATATGTGAATTTCGCTGGATTTAGCCAACAAGACTATGTGGGCGTCACCGTTTCAAAAATGATGATTTAGTGGCTGATTCTCAGATTTAATGGGGATATCATGGCCCCCCATGGTGATTAAAAAAAAATACTTTACTTCGTGTGATCCCCACCATGACATTTATACATGTTCTTACTGGCACATCTTCTGGCATTCTATCTGGCATATCTTCTGACATCTGGCATTCTATCTGGCATCTTCTGGCATTCTATCTGGCATATCTTCTGGCATTCTATCTGACATATCTTCTGGCATTCTATCTGGCATATCTTCTGGCATATCTGGCATACATATATCTTCTGGCATTCTATCTTTCTGGCATTCTATCTTCTGGCATTCTATCTGGCATTCTATCTGGCATTCTATCTTATCTGGAATATCTTCTGGCATATCTATCTGGCATATCTTCTGGCATATTTTCTGGCATTCTACCTGGCAAATCTTCTGGCACTCTATCTGACATTTTATCTTCCTACATGAGGTCCGGCAGGGAACACTGGGCGTGGATACTCGCGGTTGAGGTCCGGCAGGGAACACTGGGCGTGGATGGTCGTGGTTGAGGTCCGGCAGGGAACACTGGGCGGGGATCCTCGCGGTTGAGGTCCGGCAGGGAACACTGGGCGGTGATGGTCGTGGTTGAGGTCCGGCAGGGCACACTGAACGTGGATGGTCGTGGTTGAGGTCCGGCAGGACACACTGACATGGATCGCAGTGGAGCAGGAGGAGGACGAGGCAGGAGGAGGCGGAGGAGGAGGAGGAGAAGGAGGAGGAGAAGGAGGAGAAGGAGGAGGAGGAGGAGGCAACTGACATAAAATCTAACAACCCTCACCTGGCAGGTGGGGAAAAACAGAAATTATGGGATTGCTATGGGATGTTCTAGCTGATTCATGAGAGAGTTGGCGCTTAAATAACAAGTTTAACAGGTGGTAATTTATGGTAGATAGATCAAAAAAACATAGGGCCTTAGGGGTTAACCCACAGACACAACAACGGAGGCCCACCTTGCAGTCGGTGGCCATAACATCATGGGATTGATGACCATCTATGATAATGGTCACTGTTGAATTGGGAATAGGTTTATCTATATATGATATGTATTTATGATATGAAATGGTATGGTATGATATGATATGATATGATATGTATAATCATCTATATTGGATAAAATATGATATCATCATCTATACTGGGAATGTCAACTTTATAATCGTATATTCTGCATTTATGATATGTATTATAATATGTACACTTATTTGACATCTTTGGACATTGTCTTTTGTATATAATATATGTGTGGCATTATAGTAATAGTTGTTCCTATGTATGGCATTATAGTAATACTATGGCATTGTATTTATATATGTATTAATACTGATGGTAATAATATACATATACATCCACATATCGCACTCTAGGAATAATGATCTATTTTCTTGAGGTTATTAATTATCACATATGGTAATTATCAACCAATACGTGTATATATTCATCCTGAAGTAGGTAGAATATGGAATGTTCAATTGATGTTTCCATATTTTTGTGATGATTGCTTGACATTTCTAGGTTCTATCTACTGCAGGATGAATATATACTGTGTATATTATAGTTATATATATATATATGCATACTCCGATATGTATAGTTGTACATATGCATATACATATATATTATCCGTATATATATATGTACATCCATGCATAATATCAATATTCACAGCAACATGTACACTCATACAGTGATACCATTCCTTCACCACAGCACTCTGCGTGGCCCAAGTTTTAGATTGGAAGAAGGTGACTTTGCAGTTTTCTTTTCCAGAAATAGGTGCGTGGCCGGTTATTACAAGGTGGGGCTCAAACGTTAGCTCATTGGGTTTTGTGGTAGATATATCTATAGCTGATGGGGTTACGAACTGGTCGGGGCACCTCCCTGTACGATTTCTACGGATATGTTGGAGATGAAATAGATTCATTCGAAAAATGTTCGGCTCCCATTTTGACACATTTATATATAATATGTCATATATAATACATCACAGCAGGAAATCTTGGTTTTTCCTTGGGGTTTTCCTTGGGGTTTCTCCTAGGCTTCTCAGATCCACAGGCGCAAAGATTTGGATTTCCGGTTCCGCCACCTGTCCCCCGCAGTTCGCGTCGCTGGCTCTAAAACATCGTGATTTTCCACTTCGCAAAGGGTAAATAACCATGGGAATATATATCGGAAATAACCATGGGAAATATATATCACAAATTACCAGAGGGTAACCATCAAATATCCCATTCAATGCCAATAACCATAGGATACCACAAAACTCCAATTCTACCCCACTACAGCCGTAGATTTCTACAAGCTCGGAGCATCAGCGTCCCCTGCATCACGGACGGGTGGAGCCACTTGTAGGGGTAAAAAACTAAAAAAGACAACTCCAAAGTTCATCCAATGTAGCAAAAAACTATAGTTTTTAGAACTTAACTCTAGCAAAACTTCAATGGATCACAAATCCGAGTTACCCTCTGGTAATTCAACGTAGCTATTGAAAATGGCCATTAATAGTGGATTTTCCCATTAAAAATGGTGATTTTCCATAGCTATGTTAAATTACCAGAGGGTAATCCAATGGATGTATTTCGGCAAGAAACTCATAGACTGAGGCAGGTTGGAGGTGGAAGGTCACTTTCTTCTTCAGTCGGGGTTCACCTTAGCGAACCGTAGGGCGTTTTTATCACCAGGCGGTGGTGTCCCAGAATGCCAGAGTCAGCAAAGGATATTTACATTATATATATATATTTATTTAGTAGATTTGCTGATAGATAATCTATATATGTGAAAATTTTATAAGCATACTAATCTATGATTTTCACATAGATTAACTATAGCATTCATGGATATTTACATATATATATATATTATGGTTGGTGGTGTCAACCCCTCTGAAAAATATGAGTTCGTCAGTTGGGGTGATGACATTCCCAATATATGGAAAAATAATCCAAATGTTCCAAAAACCACCAACATCAGTATTATATGGTTGATATATCATGGATATATCTATAGTTCATATAGGATTCATTGGGATAATACACGAAGAGCAAGGCTTTCACAACCCGAAAGCAATACCCTCTGGTAATTTAACATAGCTATTGAAAATGGCCATTTATAGTGGATTTACCCATTGAAAATGGTGATTTTCCATAGCTATGTTAGTTTACCAGAGGGTAGCACGAATTGTTTCTTCGGTTCAGTCGCAGTCATTCTTCTGGATCTTCTGGCCACCAAGCCATTTTTCATCCAGGCCTTCTAAAAGCCTGGATTCTTCTATGGCAGCCAACCCTATGAACGTCTGAGGTGAGAACCCCAGTTGAGGCTCCAGAACATGTGACGTCTCGAGTCCCGACATCTAAACATCTAGAAAAAAAATGTCTACAATAGGATTAAATAGGAACATCTATAAATAAGGATTGTAATCAGACATCAATAGGAACATAAATAGAAAAATGGAAAAACAAACATCTACTTAAAGTATCTGAAACATTCTTCAAACTTCTTAAACATATCTCCAAATCATGATAGTATCATTTGTGTATTCAAGTGTCACTTATAACTTAAATCCCGTATTACTTCAGCTGGTCCCCAAAATTTGATCATTAGTCACTCACTCTCGGTGTCCAAGAACAAAGAGTCAGTTGTTCAGAGCTATTTGAGACACATTTTTGAGACAATCAAAAAATGCATGTTGCTGAGTCTGTTTATTCAGTTTATTCTTTTTTAGCGTCTATACCACCATGATATTCCCATTCTCTTCCGTCATTGTTGGCTATATTTCATTTCCCGATGAAAATAACAGACACTCACTTTTCCGACATACCCAAGTATCACAATGAAGTTGGTTATATCTCCCATTACATATGTCCTATTTTCTTGTCGATTGATCACCTTTCCCCGCCTAAAACAACAAGCAGACATGAGCCATGAAAAATACCCCTATCCCATCTCATTAAGTATAGCGGTTGGCAAATGGGTATCCCTATTATGGGTTGGGATATTGATCCCCAATAAACCAGTTCGAATAACCTCCTATATTAACCAATCAACAGCGGTATACCTTCTATGGCTCAAGGATTTGCCCCACACCATTGTATTTATCACAAACATATCACCGGTGGTATAACTTTTATGGCTGAAATATTTGCACCACATCATTATATCACTTTTTAATCACCACCATATCACCATCTTAGCCGCTTTTACCATATTGTGTCCCATTATGTTCAGATGAAGTTATCATTTCTTGTTGGTATCATGTCAAATGTATGTCGATTAAGTACCCAGTATCCAAATATACTGAACTATATACCAAAGTGTTGGTGTTGATGTTTCACCATTCTATTCCCGCTACGTTGAAAGTCTCCAGTCATGCTTATCCCACCTAGCTGTGGGGCATGCTCTGTAGATCACCAGTTTTTTCGAACGAAAAATCACCAGTATCAGCTACAAGGCTCCATAGATCTGGGCAAATTATCTTATTTTTATATACATATATATATATATATGTATATAATTGTATATATATATATAAATATATATATGGGTAAATTATAATCTTTCACTCACCTGAAATCCTTCGGCCATGAATGGCGATGATTTCCCTAACCTCTTTTTTGCCATTTGGCTCCGGGTTTGAACGAACGAACCGGGTTCGGTCGTGATGAAATTTACCCTGATATTTTCATGGCCAATCTTCGAAGCGGAGGATTCTCTCATAGGATACTTAGCAATAATGGTTCATAATG